CTGGTCTGTGGCACCATCTCCCCATCGTGGCACCTCCTGGGAGCCACCGGTGCTTCCTGGTGCTGGTGGGACTGGGATGAGCCATGGTGTCACCACACCATGGTGCCACCACGCCATGATGCCACCACTCCATGATACAACCATGCCAGGATGCCACCACACCGTATCACGGAGTCACAGAATGGTTCAGGTTGGAAGGGACCTCAAAGATCATCCAGTTCCAACCCCCCTGCCATGGGCAGGGACACCTTCCACTACACCAGGTTGCTCCAACCTGGCCTTGAACACTGCCATGATACCGCCACACCATGATGCCACCATGCCAGGATGCCACCACACCATGGTACTACCACACCATGATACCACCATGCCACGATGTCACCACGCCATGATACCACCACACCATGACGCCACTTTGGTGTGATACCCCCATGCCATGATGTCGCCATGCCTTGATGTCACCATGCCAAGATGTCATCACACCGTCATGCTGCCACACCATGATACCACCATGCCATGATACCATGACACCATGATGCCACCACGCCATGATACCGTCGTACCATGGTGCCACCACACCATGATGCCACTACACCATGGTACCATCATACCATGATGCCACCACACCATGATATCATCATACCATGGTGCCACCACACCATGATGCCACTACACCATGGTACCATCATACCATGATGCCACCACCTCATGATATCATCGTACCATGGTGCCACCACACCATGATGCCACTATACCATGGTACCATCATACCATGATGCCACCACGCCATGATACCATTGTACTGTGGTGCCACCGCACCATGATGCCACTGTACCATGGTACCATCATACCATGATACCACCACACCATGATGCCACCATGCCATGATAACACCATGTCATGATACCACCACACCATGATGCCACTACACCATGGTACCATCATACCATGATGCCACCACGCCATGATACCATTGTACTGTGGTGCCACCGCACCATGATGCCACTGTACCATGGTACCATCATACCATGATACCACCACACCATGATGCCACCATGCCATGATACCACCATGTCATGATACCACCACACGATGATGCCACTATACCATGGTACCATCATACCATGGTACCATCATACCATGATGCCACCATGCCATGATACCATCATACCATGGTGCCACCACACCATGATATCCCACCACACCATGATAACCCCATGCCATAATGCAACCATGCCATGATGCCACCACGCCATGGTCCCACCCCGCCACCGACCTCCACCCCTCCTCACCCTCCCCAGTCTTCGTGACGTTGACCTGCGCCTTCCGCTACGGCCGCGAGGACCTGGACGTGCTGGGGCTGACCTTCCGCAAGGACCTCTTCGTGGCCAATGCCCAGGCCTTCCCCCCGCTCCCGGAGGAGAAGAAGCCTCTGGCTGCAGGAGCGGCTCATCAAGAAGCTGGGCGAGCACGCCTACCCCTTCACCTTCGAGGTAGGGTGGCACCACACTGGGGTGGTGACCCCCCGTGGGGACATCCCAAACAGCCCTGACCCCCCACGAAACATCTGAACTCCTCCAAGTCCTCCAGATCAATGAAAAAACCCAAATCATGGATTTGGTACAACCCTTCGGGTTTGGGGTTCGAGGGCGGGCACGGAGTGGGAAGGAAGCGGGAGAGGACCGAGCGGGTGATGCCACGGGTCTCCGGGACGAAAGGTGGCTGCGGGATGGGGGTCCTGGCCCCGGCCCCGCTCCTGGACCCCCCTTTCCTCCTCAGATCCCCCCCAACCTGCCTTGCTCCGTCACGCTGCAGCCGGGCCCGGAGGACACGGGGAAGGTGAGGTCCGCCCGTCCTTGTGCCCGGCCCTTGGTTGGGGTCACCCTTTTGGGGGGTGCCAAGGAGTTTCTCTGCCTCCTTCTCCGCCCTCTCCGTGTTTCCAGGCCTGCGGTGTGGACTACGAGGTCAAAGCTTTCTGCGCGGAGAACCTGGAGGAGAAGATCCACAAGAGGTGAGCGGAGAGGATCCATCCAGCCCGGGTGGGAGCAGCAGCCTCGGGGGGCTGGCAGGGGGGGGCGCGCCGCACCCTGGTTTGCTACCCACGGTGGGTGAGATGGGGATGGGGTGGTGATGTTCTCCAAGATGGGGCTGGATTGGAGATGTCCTCCATGATAGGGTTGGGACAGAGATGTTAGGCTGGGGCTGGAGCTGGGATGGAGATGTCCACCAGGATGGTGCTGGGATGGAGATGTCCACCAGGATGGAGCTGGGATGGAGATGTCCTCGAGGTTGAGGCTGGCATGGAGATTTTCTCCAGGCTGGGCTTTGGACAGTGATGTCCTCTAGACTGGGGCTGGGACAGAGATGTTCCCTGGGCTGGTCCTGGAGGTGTCCTCCGGGCTGGATGTGGGATGTAGATGTTCTCTAGGTTGGGGCTGGGATGGAGATGTCTTGCTGGCTGGAGCTGGGATGGGGAATGTCCTCTAGGCTGGGGCTAGGTTGGAGATGTCCTCCAGGCTAGGCTTGGGACAAAGATGTTCTCCAGGCTGGGGCTGGGGCTGGAACAGAGATGTCCTCCCAGCTGGGGCTGCGATGGAGATGCTCTTCAGGATGGAGGTGCTCCTGAATGGAGCTGGGATGAAGATGCCTTCCAGGGTAGCGATGAGTGAGAGATTATCTAGGAGTTGGGATGGAGACATCCAGCCCTGCCTGGCGCG